TATTATTAAGTTTATTTAAATGTAATTTTTTTTTTTACAGAGCAAGGCAGGAGTGTTTGAGAAACATTTTTACAATTTGAAAATTATAACTGCTATTTATTTATGTAGTATTTATAATTATTTGTTAATTCATTTTTTTATTAATTTTAAACCTATTTATTTATTTATTTATTTTTTAGTTTAAGTATTTAATTATTTAAATGTAAGCTTATTTATAATAACAAGGTAGAAGGATTGTTTGAGAAATATTGTACAATTTCAAAATAACTTCAGCTTTATTTATTTATAATTATTTATTGTATTTATGAATACACCAGTGCTCGCAAAAATACACCAGTGCTCGCAAAATTTCAAAATCCCTGGTAGCCCCTCGGACAGAGACTCTTCAGATTTTCATAGCCCGAAATGAATTTAACTAAGTGTAAGATGTATGTACATTTACGAATGTTATTGACTTTGTTATGAGCCTTTACAAAAAAACAAACAAACAAACAAACAAATACATGGTAACTACAGTATAGTGTCCCAAAACACCATACAGATACTGTTACCACAATACAGCTGCGGAAACTTGGTATTATCCACCACTGTCATCGAAAAATTAAACAAAATGACAGAAGGTTTCTGAAGCATCTGACATTGTTTAAAGAAAATTTTCCAGGATTTATTTATTATGATTTTACAGTTGTAACTAAACCATAGGAAATATAATATTTTGGTGATATCATGGTTACCACGGTACAGTTTTAAAATAGGCTTAAAAACTGCGTCAATCAAAGACAGACTAATCTCTAACTATAATCAAATCATTCAGACGTCATGTTGATTTAGGATCAGTTTGAATTGGGAAACCGTCCCTCGTGTCATTTAACATCATACTACAGGTTGAAATGGATTGGCTTTGAATCAGCTGTTGAGTGATCAGGTTGTGTAACGATCCATAAAGCCAAAAAGATGATGAGTCTATCAACACATGCGGCTTTGTTTTTCTATCACGGTGAGATTTTGCATTGACTTCTATTGTTTTTATACTGAGCTAATCATGTGTTCTGTCCCCTAACCCTCCATGCAAAGCTCTTTGCACGTGTACGTTTTCATTAAATCGTTAATTAGTATGTTTATTAAGCCGTTTCCTTGCAAAGCAGAGGTGCCAACAACATCAACACCAACCGAACTGATGCAAGTTCACACAAGCAGGTCCACAGTAATTATAAGCCAGAACACATGCAGACAAAACTCACACAGACTGGCAGAATGAGAGACTGTATGAAATCACCAGGACGTACTGATTAACAGTGTTGGGGGTAACTCATTACAAGTAACGCGAGTTACGTAATCAGATTACTTTTTTCAAGTAACTAGTAAAGTAACGCATTACTTTTTAATTTACAAGAGAATATCCGAGTTACTTTTTTAAATAAGTAACGCAAGTTACTTTTTTTTTTTTAAATTTATTGATTGACAGCTCTCCTGTCCCCATGTTGAGAGAAATCAGATGTTACTGTAGTTCTAAAATAAATATGAATATGCATTAATTCATCTCACTCACAAAAAAAAAAAAACACAGATTCAGTATTCCTCAAAATGAATAAAAATAATGCAACTCAGAATATG